TATTCAGATTTAGGAGGTTCTTCAAATCATTCACTAATATGAAAAAGGACTGAGGGCCAAATGTATTAACTTACTAATGAGATTTACATGTGTTAAGTGCAGACTATAGATTCTGACAGCCTATGAGAAAATAATAATATAAATGCCCCTGAATCTACATATATGTCCTCATACAAATTATAAATTTTCTATGGTAAGCCTGGTTTTGCTACCAAGGAATGGTTACTTTTAAGTTACTTTTTCTTATTTATTTATTGGTACTAGGGATTGATCTTAGGAACATTTAACTACTGAGCCATACCCCCATACCCCTTTATTTTGAGAAAGGGTCTCACTAAGTTGTTAGGGACTCACTGATTGCTAAGTCTTCTTTGAACTTGTGATTCTCCTGCCTTTACCTCCCAAGTTGCTAGGATTACAGGTGTGTGCCACCACACCTGGCTAAATTACTTTTGATAAACTGGTATAGATTTAAATAAAGAAACTTTTCACTTGAAGTGGTTTTAATTGTATTCATACTAGCAGCATTAATGAAGTTCAGTGATTTAGGCACCAGCAACCCCCAGGGATTTGCTCATTGATAGAGAACGCTCCACATCAACTTTTCATAATGTCAGTCTGAGGGAAGAAGTGATGGGCTGAAGGGAAGAATCTTAAAAATGCTTTACTGGGGGGGAGGGAAGGTACACTCATACATTGCTGGTGGGACTGCAAATTGGTGCAGCCAATTTGGAAAGCAGTATGGAGATTCTTTGGAAAGCTGGGAATGGAACCACCATTTGACCCAGCTATTCCCCTTCTCGGACTATACCCAAAAGACCTAAAAAGAGCATATTACAGGGACACAGCCACATCAATGTTTATAGCAGCACAATTCAGAATAGCTAGAATGTGGAACCAATCTAGATGCCCTTCATAGAAGAATGGATTAAAAAATGTGGCATTTATACACAATGGAATATTACTCAGCACTAAAAAATAACAAGATCATGGCATTTGCAGGCAAATGGATGGCATTAGAGCAGATTATGCTAAGTGAAGTTAGCCAATCCCTAAAAAACAAATGCCAAATGTCTTCTCTGATATAAGGGGGGTGACTCAAAATGGGATAGGGTCCTAGGAAGAGCATAAGAAGAAGACTACCACTAAATAGGGAAGAGAGGTGAGAGGGAAAAAGAGGGAGAAGGGGAGTTGCATGGAAGATGGAAGGAGAACCTCTTTGTTATACAGAATACATATTTGATGTTGTAATGAGAAAAAGAAAAAAAGTGTGTCGCATTAGACTGGATAGAGAGAAAGGATGGGAGAGGAGGGGAGGAGTAGGGGGGATAGGAAGGGCAGCAGAATAGAATAGACAATATGATTGATGTATATACATTCCATGTATGTATTATATGTCAAAATACATTCTGCTGTCATGTATGACTAAAAAAAATAAATTAAATAAATTTTTAAAAATGCTTTACTTTTACAGCCTGCAAAGAAAGCACTATTTTAACAATTCTTTTTAAAATTTAGTTATCAAATCAATGCATACACACAGTATAAACCCATGTGGTAAAGAATGCCAGAAAATAAAAAAATATCACTCTCCCCACAAATCCCATGTTTCATTTTCTAGAGGTATGCACTGAAAACAGGTTCTTTTGTAACCTCTCAAAGTTATTCTGTGCATAAAAAAATCACATACAGTATGTTCTTTTGATTTAACCCAAAATGGGGATTTTTTTTCAAATACCTTCTGCAACCTAGCTTTTAAATTTTTAAATGTCTTGAAATTTTTCCAAATTAGTAAATATATATCTATAATTCATTTATTTATTCATGCAACAAATATTTACTAAGAGCTAAGAGCTATATCAGGTGCTAGGAATAAAAGGTAAGCAAGGGGCTGGGGTTGTGGCTTAGTGGTAGAGCACTCATCTAGCACATTCGAGGCCCTGGGTTTGATCCTCAGCACCACATAAAAAAGAAATAAACAAAATAAACATATTGGTCCAACTACAACTAAAAAATAAGTGTGTCCAAAAAAAAAAAAAAAGGTGAACAAAATAGACAAGGTCTTTCCTTTCACAGAGCTTACATTATAGTGAGGGTGCACTAGTATTAATTTTTAAAAATATAAATACAGATTATGGGAAGTGCTATTAAGGAAATAAAAAAGGAACTGTGTTGGAATGGGCCTACTTTTTAAAAATTTTTTGGTGGTCCTAGGGATTGAACCCAGGGCCTTGTGTATGTGAGGCAAGCACTTTACCAATGGGCCTATTTAAAACAAGTAGAGCAAGTGAGGCTCACTGAGAAGTTGACATTGAAGTTGAGATGTGCAGTGTTCTCTATTTTGTGGGACAGGGTCTTGCTAAATTGCTTAGGGCCTAAGCATAAATTGCTGAGGCTGGCTTTGAACTTGGGATATTCCTGCCTCAGCCTCCTGAGCCACTGGGATTATAAGCATGGGCCACCACACCTAATCTCCTTCCTTTTTAAAGCTAAATATAGTCCATAATTTTTAATTCATTCATTCATCTATGGACATTTGGGTTATTTGTACTTTTTGGCTGTTGTGAATAATTCTACTATGAACATTGGTATCCCTACTATCAATTCTTTTGGGTATACACCCAGAAGCAGAATTGCTAGATCATATAGTAATTCTATATTTAACTTTGTAGTCATTGTAGTTTGTGTGTGTTGTTGTTGTTGTTGTTGTTGTTGTTGGAGATCGAATCCAGGGCCTTCTGCATGAGAGAGGCAAGCATTCTACCAACTGAGCTATATCCCAGTCCTTATATTTAACTTTTTGAGGAACCTCTGTACTGTATTCCATGTGGCTACATCATTTTATATTCTCTAAGCAATGCACAAGTTTTCCAATTTCTCCACATCCTTGTCATTGCTTATTATTTTCTATTTGTTTTATAATGGCCAACCTGATGGTTCTGAAGTGGTAGGTCATTATAGTTTTTTTCACTTTTTAATATTTTTTAGTTATACATGGACACAATACCTTTATTTGGTTTATTTATTTTTATGTGGTACTGAGGATTGAAACCCAGCCTCACATGTGGGAGGCAAGCGCTCTGCCACTGAGTCACAACCCCAGCCCAGTCATTGTAGTTTTGATTCACTAATGGTTAGTATTGTTAAAAATCTTTATCATATCCCTATTAGCCATGTGCACATATTCTTTGGAGAAATAGCTATTCATATCCTTTGTCCATTGTCTATTTTTGAATCAGGTCATCTCTTTTGAATCAGGTATTTTTGTTGTTGAATTATAATCGTTCTTTGTATGTTTTTAATATTATCCTTTATCCGATATGTGTTTCTCAAATATTTTCTCCCATTTTTTGAATTGTCTTTTCATTCTCTTGATAGTGTCCTTTGATGCACATGCACAAAAGTTTTCACATAGGTGAAGTCCAGTTTACCTATTTTTCCTTTTGTTGCCTGTGCTTTCAGTGTTATATCTAAGAAATTCCCAAATCCAATATGGTGAAGTTTGTCCTTATATTTCTTCTATATTTTTATACTTATAGCTCTTACATTAGGTTTTTGATCCATTTGAATTAATATTTGTACATGATCCAACCTCTTCTGGTTTTTTGTTGTTGTTGTTATTGTTGTTGTTTTTTAATGTGGATATCCAGTTTTCCCAGAATCATCTATTGAAAAATCTATCCTTTCACTAATGAATGGCCTTACTCTGGTCAAAAATTAGTTGGCACAAGTGAATTTTTAAAATATATAATGGGAAGTTATTGGCATTCCTAATCAAGGTTATTACACAACTCTGAGTCTTTGAAAACAAATGTCCTCTTTTGAAAATAATAGACTGAAAGAGAAAGTTAATTCTAAATCCCCAAATCCTTTATTATTAAGAGAAAAGCTCACATGAGTGAACATTAAGTTTTACATAAGAGAAAACTTGAAATATGAACTCAATGAACAGAAGAAAACTTAAGGAAGGGGCTGGGGGTATAGCTCAGGTGGTAGAGTGCTTGCCTCTTGTGTATAGTACTCTGGGTTCAATCCCCAGGATCACAAAAAAAAAAAAAGAAAAACTAAGGAAGTTCCCAACAGAGAGGAAGAAAAAACACAAAATCTAGATTCAAATGCTAGATTGAGAGGGAAGGGAAAGAGGGGGTTCAAGGAGAGATGGATGGAAATAGAATGTAAGTTGGGGTAAATATGTTTACCACATGAAACTAGGATTTTCATTACATTTTATGAATGTATACTCATGTCACCAGCCTCTGGACCTTTTGGTGGTTAAACACACACACACACACACACACACACACACACACACACACAATTTTGAATCTGTTCTTCTAATCTGTCTACCTGCTGAATTAACCAACCTTATAATACCTCTAGATTTCTTATAATGTGGAATGTAATTTTCATTTTTATTTTTTATACTAGAGATTGAACTCAGGATTGCTTTACCACTAAACTATATTCCAGCCCCTTTTACTTCTTATTTTGAGAAAAGGTCTCGCTAAGTTGCTGGCCTTGACATTGCAATTCTCTTGCCTCAGCCCCTGGAGTTGCTGGGATTATAGATGTGCACCACTATACCCAGCCATACTCTTCATTTTAAAAAATACTCACTTTGAGGGGCTGGGGTTATAGCTACCAAGTCTGGTAGAGCGCTTGCCTTGTATAGGAGGCACACGGCTCCATCCCCACCACCACATAAAAATAAATAAAGATACTATGTCCATCCCTAAAAAAAATCTTTAAAAAAATTCACTCTGAGTATTTTATCACAGTGGAAAGAGACATTTATTTAATGCCATTATTAATCAATTAAAATAACTGACCTAAAATGAAAACCTGAAAATGAGCAGTTGTGCAGTTTAAAAATGCCTAAATTTTAGCCATGGTATTTAACTGTATTCAGTCTAAAGAAAGAATATATTAAGTCATTAAGTGTGACCCCTTCCATATCTATCCACCCAGCTCAATTAACTCTTGGCAATAGGGACTAAAGAATGTCCTTTGAGCACCTGCAGGTTAAGAGGCAACAGAAGAAAGCTGTTAGCAACACAGAAACTAACACCAACGGAATTGTGACAGAGGAAGGACATGTTTTTTGTCTCCAGTTCTTTCGTACATGACTCAGGAGTCAGCACGAAGAATCTATCTAAATTGTTGCCTTCGAATCTATGGGCTCAGCATCCAAAATCACCCCTTTCTAATTTCCTACCAGAGCTGCCCACATAATTGCAGGAAAACACCTGTTGCAAAATTAGGTTGTTGAAGCAACATCGAGCCAGGTCCAACAAATCTGTGAGGTAGGCTGAAGCCCACTCCCACTACTTGACAGAAGAAACAATTTGGCATTGGGGACCCAAAACAACGATTTCTAAACTCCTGCAAACCACTCAGAAACAAAACAAAACAAAACAAAAAAACACTATATAGAGAGGTATCCTCACAATTTGTACTGCTAGATTTGGATTTTCATACTATAAATTGCTTTGAAATGAATTTGTACTGGATTATGTACTAATTTCTTAGACTTCCTATTTTTAAAGGAGATATGACCTTTTACTGATTTAACTGCTCATTTTTTTGCTTTTATATGTGCTCTTTCAGGCAACAAGATCACAAACCTTTCTTTTCAAGGGTAAGCCTAGAGCTTTGCAGACGGGACTTAACAATGATTAAGAGAAATAAGTGTAATAAAACATGAAAAGCAGTAGCAAATTATGAACAACATAGGTAGTTGCTTACTGAACATTTAAAAAAAAACTCCATTATTATGAAAGGTTAATAAAATAGGTACTTGTCACTCCATTTTTCTATATGCTTAACAAAACACTGTTGAAATCTTAATAACTGTTTGCTAATCTTGTTCCCAGAATGTGCTGTCCCCAACTGTGAACTGTTTGCTAATCTTGTTCCCAGAATGAGCTGTCCCCAACTGCCAAACTACAAAATGTAACTTCTCTCCCTGCCCTCTCCAAGGAAAGTATATAAGCTCTGCTTAAGCTGTTCTCAGGGCTCTATCTCTATTTGCTATAGTGAGCTCTGAGCCCTCCTCCTCCATGGGTGAAGTCTTTCCTTGTCCCTGCCCCCACTCCTACTCCTTCCCCTACAATTCTGTCTCTCAAACCCTCTGCTCCTTCTCCTCCTCCACCCTCTGTTCTCCCTAAACCTCAAGATTTGACTCTACTGGACTCTCCTCCCCCTCCTTATCCCCTGCCCTCATCTCCCAACCCCCAACACCCTCTAAGTGATTCCCCTGCTGCTGACTCAGCCTCTCCACCATTGGAGGAAGCTAAGCCGGCCCAGTGCCCTCCAGATGACTCCCCCATGGCACACACAGCCCCTCCTCCCCTGGAAGAAACTGGCCCAGCTAAAAGAACTCAAAGAA